ACATTGATCAGGGGGTTGGGATGCCAGCTGGACTTCAGCTCCATTCCCTATGTCTTCTGGCTTTGTGGTGACCTTGGACAAGTCCTTGGGTTAAAGACAGGTTTTTGAAGGTTTCTTGATCGGTGGAGGTAAACCTGGGCCTTAGATGGATCTTTGAAGGGGCTGAGATGCTGAATTCTGATGATTAATACTGATGTCTGCGTTGTGATGCATCCCCTGGGAAACTGTGTTGATGAGTTCCTGTGTTGATTTGCTGGGATGGAGAGAAACTGAGCCATGGCAGCATGACCATGCATTGCATGCAAATATCTTCAGCCATGAAAGGTGAGCTGCACATCCCCATATTCCTGCCAGTCATATCTGGGCCCTTTATATATGGCAGTAGGATGAACTTGTTGACAGCCCTAGGCCATATTTTATCTAGCATCATGATAAGGCAAGGGAGGCTGCAGTCGATTAGAGGGGAAGGACTCTTGCATAGGTTTCTGGCATCTCCCTTTCTCCTAACCTCAAGAGAGAGACCAAAGGGAAGTCTGCTGGGGCATACAGGGCTACCCTTCTCAGTTCTTCTCTAGTTCATGTAGCCCCACTTCTTGTGAGTGATGGTGGTAGACGCTTTTGCAGGTGATGGGACAATATGTCTTCTGGGAAAGGGTGTCCATCATTCCATGGCCTGCACATGGCTCCTTCGAAACCATGTTCCCAAAACTTCACTCATGAACCTTGGCACTGCAGGTGCAGCCTACCCGAAGGAGGCGGTGACCAAAGTCAACATTGTCCTGGCTCCGATACCCCGGCGAGCTCAGGAGACAGGAATGTCCAGTGTGCTGGTAGAGGGTTCCTGAGTTTGTCTGGCATGGGTCTGCAAAGCTCAAACCCTCTGGGAGGCATTTCATTTTCCTTTCTGGAATTAGCTTTAGTGCTGAAGGTTGGGTTTGAGCCAGAAAAGCTTCCTTTGAGCTGTTGGCCATGCAGAAGACTCCTCAAGTCTGCAACATTTCCCTTAAACACAGGTCAGCTGGTGCCATAAATTTCCCTTGCCTGAATATTATAATCTCCTCAAGTGCTGGTGAGGAAATGCCCAAAGGAAACTTAACCTTTCCATCAACATTAGCTTGTCTGGAGCGGGCATTCGTGGCCATGTGGAACAGTGCAGCCAGAGTGTGGGTGCCTGTGACATTGTTCTGCAGGATGAGGAGGTGTTTTGTAGGGCAAATGGAAATAAAAACCCTCCCTTGTGTGGGAGTCTGGAGGGAGGTGAAGTCAAGAGCTAGATCTGAAACGAGCAGCTGGACCCAGTCAGAGCAGAAGTCTAAGCATCCCAGATGCTTGGCAAGCTGTGACTCTATGGCCAAATCTGAACCAAGGTGTTTTCTGCCTATCCTTAGGCTTGCAGGATCTCCTCGCCTTCTCAGGAAGAGATAAGCCCCTTCCACAAAGACTGTTTTTCCCCAAATCACAGAATGGTTTGGGTTGGAAAGGACTGTAAGATCATCTAGTTCCAACCCCCCTGCCATGGGCAGGGATCCTTCTAGACCATGTCACCCAAGGCTCTGTCCAACCTGGACTTGAACACCGCCAGGGATGGCTCATTCACCACCTCCTTGGGCAACCCATTCCAGTGTCTCACCACCCTAACAGGAAAGAATTTCCTCCTTATATCCAATCTAAACTTCCCCTGTTTAAGTTTTAACCCATTACCCCTTGTCCTATCACTACAGTCCCTGATAAAGAGTCCATCCCAAGCACCCTTATAGGCCCTTTTCAGGTACTGGAAGGCTGCTATGAGGTCTCCACACAGCCTTCTCTTCTGCAGGCTGAACAGCCCCAACTTCCTCAGCCTGTCTTCATACGGGAGGTGCTCCAGTCCCCTGATCATCCTCGTGGCCCTTCTCTGGACTTGTTCCAACAGTTCCTTGTCCTTTTTATGTTGAGGACACCAGCACTGCACACAATACTCCGGGTGAGGTCTCACAAGAGCAGAGTAGAGGGGCAGGATCACCTCCTTCAACCTGCTGGTCATGCTCCTTTTGATGCAGCCCAGGATACGGTTGGCTTTCTGGGCTGCGAGCGCACACTGCCGGCTCATGTTCATTTTCTCATCCACCAACACCCCCAGTCAAGACCTCCAAAAGCTGCTGGCTGGCTGAGGACTGCATAAAGAGAAACAATCCAATCCTATGATGAGGTCTTGCTGGAGCAAGCCTTGCCGCAGCTCCTAGCTGCAGGGGCAACAAAGTCATTTTTCTATCCTCCCTTCTCCAGTTCCTGTTATGTTTGTGTGAGAGAATCAATTTCCTTTCCCCTCACATGAAAATTGCTCTATATAGGGCGGTGACTGAATGCAGGAGTGAAGTACTCTGTTGCTCATCTTGCAAGCCTTTAAGCTTTTAAGTCTTCTTATTTACCATTTCCCTATCTTGTGCTGGGTGAAATGAAGTGGGGAGCTCTCTGACCCAGCCACAGCTATGAGCCTGTTTTTTCCCCAGACTTCTCCAGCCTGAGACTGACCTGGAAAAGTGCTGGCTGGAGGTGAAGGCAGAGTGATACGTGGTATCATCTGGATCCTGAAGTGCTGGGAAATTATTTCTAGAAGTGGGAAAGATGGTTGTGCAATACTGCTGTGGGCTGAGCACACTGGGTTGCGGAATGTGATTATGAGCAATTGGAACAAACAGGAGACTGCAGCCCCTTCTTAGAAAACAGAGCTGTTTGTAAATTAAATCTTTCCACCATTTTGCTTTGAAAAGCGATTTAACAGCTGACCCCCTCCTCACACTTGGGCTTGTCCAAATCGAAACGGCACATTCTATCTCCAGCCCAACAAACCCTTGTAGCTGACCCGAAGGCAGGGCCTTTGGTGAGGTTTAGTTTCTCATTTGTTTGGGGTATTTTTTTGTTTCCTTTTTTTTTTTTCACTGAAGATTTCACAAATATTTGTTCTGCTGGGTCAGTCAAATAGGAATTGTCCTTTTCCCTCAGCTTGTTGATGTGACTACTGAACCCCAAAGCATCTCTCATTAAACCTTGCTCTGCTGCCAGCCTGTTGGAGCTCTGAATTTGCTAGTAAACTGTTTAAGGTGTTTGCTGGAGGATGCACTTATTGCTGAGAGGAGCAGATATGGAGCTCCCAGCATCGCAGCCCAGCCCTGATGTGTGCCTGAGCCGCATCCCAGCGTGGTGATGGGCATCTTGGAGGCTGGTTTGCTCTGTGACAAAAGGAGCTGGGAAAGTTCTTTCCCTGCTTTTGCAGAAAAATCCATCTCCCCAAAACGGTAGCCCCCAGCTCTGTCCTCAGCCTGTTTGGAGGATGCAGGGACAGAATAGCGAGCCGGTGAGGTCATGGAGAGAGAGTTAGTCACATCCAACTGGGAAAGGGAGAGGGCTGCCAACCAACGTTGCTCTCACACTGCAGGAAGCTCATGTGATTCGGAGGGGACCCCCTTCTGGCTCCCCCCCGCACCCTGGCCAAGCCAGGGGGTTGGTGCAGTGCTGCCTCTGCAGTGGCTTCCCAAGGAGCTGGAGGAGGGTGCCAGGGAATTAAATCAAAATCTAACTTATTCTGGCATAAGCATGGACCTTGCTTCTTGTAACTGGGGTGATTTGGGTGAGAGGGAGTTAAGAGCCTTTCCAAATCAGAGACTATCTGGAGCTGCTGCACAAGGAAGGGAGATCATGGCAGAGTTTAATGAATGACTTCATTTATATATTAAAAAAACCCAACAACAACACGGTGGCTTCCTGCCAGGCCCACAGACAAGGGTTTCTATGGGAACCTGGGGGGAAATAATAAATAGGAGTGTGGGATGAGTCAGGAAAGGAGGAGGGGAGCCCAAGCTCTAGTCTGGGTCCACTTTGCTCAAGGTGGCCAGGGGCGAGAGTGGGGAGAAGGGGAAAGGATGGCTGAATTTGCTGCTTGCCAAAGACCCCACCCAAAATGAGTCAAGCAGTAATTACACTGCCATGGAGCTGTCTCTTGGCCTGGTTCTGGGATCTGCTTTGCTCCCTGCTCCCCCGTGAGCTTGGCCGGGATGGGTGGCCTGTCTCTGTCCAGCTCAGGGTTGCTGGATCACCCCTAGCCTCCTGCCAGGGTGGTGGGGGGACCACTCCGCGAAGGGGTGCTGCTGCTGGTGGGAGATTGCCTTCCTGATCCCTGTGTCCATGCCTTGCACAAGAGCGTTTCTCTAAATAGACTTGCAAGCACCCGGGAAAACAGCCTTCATGGAGTGGGGTGAGGGAGAATCTGCCCCAGCATCAGCCCCAGGTACCACAAGTCAGACCTGCCTTGCTGCAGCTGGCATCACAGACTCTTTGGGTGAGCAGTGATCACGCTGTTGTGTCATGCCCCTTTCTGCCTGCATCCTGGCTGGTGCTGCCACTGTGGAGAGAGAGCCAATCCTGTGTGGGGACCAGCATTGATGCAGGAGTGTGGCAGCTGCCTTATCACTTCCTCAGGGGTGTAAGAGGCCATTCTGCTGACAGAGGCACTATAATCCAGCGCCTGAGATGTCTGGGAGAAGCCAGGGCAGGTTTTTGTTCTCTGCAGGGGTGGAAGGAAGCTGAGCAGGGCAGAGGAGGACACAGCCACTGCCCTCTGACACTGTTCCCTCTGCTCCTGGCCAGACAGGAGCATCTCAGCTGCTTAAGGAAACTCACCCTCAAGGTGAAGATTTTGCCCTCCCTGGACCAAAGCTTGAGATGAGAGTGTGGGATTGAGATTTCTTACATACCACTTCTTCCTTGGCATTGGAAAAGGCTTTCCTGCAGCCCTCTCCCAGTGCATGTGGCCCACCTTATCATTGCACATTGGTCGATCCTGCTGTGGAGCTGTGCCGATGGAGGTTGGGGATGTTGCTTTGAGGACCATGGCTCATGGTGGGAGAACTCCTCTGTTGGAGCCTCCTGTTTGCTGGAGGAAGTCCAGGCACCTCAGAGGGTTGCTGACAGGTTTCAGAGGCACTGCCCAGCATTAAGGATGGGTTTTTCCTCTGGCTTGGCAGGCTGACAGCACAGTGGAGTGTGGAAGATGAGGAAGAGGCGGCGAGAGAGCGGCGGCGGCGGGAGAGGGAGAAGCAGCTGAGGTCCCAGGCAGAAGAGGGCTTGAATGGCACCATCTCCTGCTCAGAGAGCTCGGGTCCAGCACAGGAAAACCAGTAAGAACTGTGGATAAATGCTCCAGTGACGTACTCTTTCCTTGCAGCAAAACCCTCCTGCATCCACAGAGCGGGTGTCCCTGTGTCTCTGTTGCTCAGTCTGGTTTGGGGAAGTGGGGAAGTTCCCTAATAGATTTGGGTTGGGGGATTTAGCCCAAACTAACAAAAAGTGTGTTTCGAGTTTGGGCAGAAAAAGCCAGAATATCTGCTTTGCTTATTTTTTTTGTTTTTTTTTTTTCTGGCTGATGCTGGGTGTTTCACTGCCTGGGAGTTTAAACTTAGGACAGCTTGGGTAAGGCTGAGCTCAGGCAGGGAGTCCCCATTGCCAGGGATTCAACTGCCTGGTTGCATTTCAGCTTGTGAATCATCCTACACCGAAACTAATGGAAATTCCTGATACTTGGGAAGACAGACATGTGCCTGAGGATGTGACACACAACCCCCAAGCAGATCACATGGCAGAGCAAGCCATCACCTCTCCCAGCTGGGCTTCCTGCTCTTCTCTTGGAGGATGCTGCCCAGCAGTGGGGAGCATGGAGCAGCTTTCCAGCTGGTGCAGTTCGCAGCTCCAAGGGTTAAAGTTAACTTGATGCTTTAATGGGGCAGGTCCTAAATGGAAATATTTCAGGAGATATTTATGGTGATGCTGAGATATCTGCTGTCAGAGAAGAAAGAACTGGGGAAGTGATAGGGTGACCAGTCACATCCCCAGCATCCCACTGCAGTATCCCACCACAGGCTCCCTGTGCCCACAGCTCAGCCCAGGTGCTGTGCAGCACTGGGGCTGGCACAAAAACCGTTCTGCACTCTTGAGTCACAAAACTCTGTCTTGAAGACTCCAGTCTTCCCGCTATTTGTGTGTTCAACTTATTTCTAACTATATTAAACACAATGGAAAAGTGGCAGCAGGATTTGGGATTACAGTCAGAGAGAAGTAGCAGCTTCATTTTACTGGAAAAAATAGCAAAGGCTATTCATAAAAATATATTTTTTCCATTAAAAGATTCTTTTTTTCCTCAGATACTTTCAAAATTATTCAGTACTGTTTTTGAAGGGGGTCTAAGAAAGTTTCAAAGAAGTTTCAGAATCTTTTGTGGAAATACATCCAGTGATATCCCGCAAACAAAGCCTCTGTAGTCTGCCCTGAAAGCAAACAGAAGATCTGAAAACTAATAATAATCGTTAGCTTTTCCAAATCCTGCTTCACATCAGGACTGGAAAATAATTCATAAAGGTCTTAAAAACAGCAGACCAGATCTCTGGTCTCTGCTTTGCTGGGAGATGCTGTAAGTGGGCTCCGGCACAGAGCAGCATGCAGCAGCCCCAGTAACCCAGCTTGCAAGCTCTGTTCCTGTGGGCACAGGCACAGACATGCTGCTGACTCCACAGGGCCACTGGCATTGCCCCATTTTAACTGAGTGCTTAAGCATCTGCAAAGGGAGTAATAACAAGAAGAACTAAACCAAGGGGTTTTGCTCTTTCCTCCACGATGCTTGAGCTTGCTGGGCCGCACTTCACCAGAAGAGTGTTTCCTCTCTGGCCACCCCCTGGTTTCTTCTGCAGCTGCTCACAGCCACCTGGGCTTGCTTATGCAGCCATGGTCAGCCCCAGCTATTACTCTGAAGAGCTTTGCTCTCTCTTGTGTAAACACTGCCCCTTCCTTCCCTCCGCTCTTCCCACGCTGGGACTCATCCCATCCATGTCACTCCTGTTTGTGCAAACCTACCCTCGGCATTTCCTTGCACCAGAGGGACAGAGTAAAAGCTCCTCTGCTCCCTTCCCCCCACTAAGAAAAAAGAGAAATAACCTGCAAAACAGTGGCCTTGGGAGCCAGAGGGGTGGATGTCATCTTAAGCAGTGCAGATGGCGCTCTCCTGGTTCACTGCTTCCCCTGGGGCTGTATTTGCAGAGGGGCACAGGGAAAGGACCAGTTTTCAGATAGCATTTGGCTGGTGTCCCTTGCTCCCTGATAGCTTTGTTGATAGCCTGAGCACGTTTGTAGCCGTGGCCACAAATACTGGAGCAATTCTGCCTTGGGCATCATCAGTGCTGCAGCTAACCTGAAGCCCTACCAGGTCTGCGGTCCCATCCTGGCTCCTCATCAAGTTTCCTGAGTGTTATCCTGGGGCACCCACAAGCTACTACTACACACACAGTGGAAAATAATCCAGCCTAGGCTGGAGTGTCCTGGACTTACATGGCCTCACTTTTTGGCAGCCAAAGGTGATGCTGAACTACAGCAGCAGCTGGGCTATGCTCAAACTTGTGGCTGAACAACTGTTTTCAGTGTGCGTCCCCTGCTATCCTTCCTGGTGAGCCTGGTGAAGACGTGTTTTCTGTAAACCTTCAGCTCCTGCAGTCAGTTCAATATGAGGCTCCCAAAACTCAAAGGAAGTCCCCATTTAGGAGGCTAAGTACCTTCTGGTACCTCCTGAGAGCCCAGGAAGGCAAAGAAAAGGCTCACTCATGTTTGTTACTTATTTTGAACCTCTGAGTTTTAAATTAATCTGTGGGTCCCACTTCCTAATTCCCATTCCCAGGCAATGTGACTGCCCTGCATCTGAAAAACATCTGTGAAGCCACCTTCTCAGGCTGATGCTTGCAATGGGGCTGCTCCCCCAGGACTTCTGCCTGGGAGGCAAGTCTCCTTGCAAACACATGGGAAAAAACAGGGAGAACCCAACAATCCCAGTGCTTGGGCATCCTGCATCTGGTGCTGGCAGCTGTGTGCCCTGCCAGGGCTGCAGTATATGGAGGTGGGGAGCCAGGGTCATGCAAGTGCTTGTGACTGGCTCAGAGTTGTAGGGGAAAATGAAGACCCAGTCCAGAGCTTGAGCCAGTATCCTAGTCTTTGGATCTTCGTGCCTTCCTTATCCAGCAGTCTGTTCAGGCTGGCTCCTGCTCATGTCTTTTCTAAGGGCCTATGTACAAGCGTACGACAAGCAGCAACTGTGTTTGAAACACCACTGGTCCAAACAAGGTAAGGCCAGCTCTGGTGCAGAATGACCATGGTGCATTGACTTTCTGGTTTTGATGTGCTGCTTGTCTTTTGCTTGCCTGTGTGCAGCCGCAGAGTCCAGGCAGGCAGCGGGGTGCTCTTGCTGGAGACATGGAACTGCTCCTTCTACCTCTCCATCTTGCAGTGATGCCCCAAGAAACCACCTTTGTGTAAGGGTGCTCCTAAGCACGTGGCAAAGGCATCTTTTCTGTAATCGAGGGTAAGGCTTCAAATGCAATTTGGGAGCAGCCAGAGGAAAGAAGATGCAATAACTGGAGGGAGAGAAGAATGGTACCAGGCTGGGGATCTTTCAGGACAGGTTTGGGGTTTTTGTATTTCTCACCTTAATTTTCCTTCTTGCTGTGTTTCAGCTATGACTTTAAGCCATATGGGACTTCAGAGCTGGAGGAGGATGAGGGGTTCAGTGACTGGTCTCAGAAGCTTGAGCAGCGCAAACAGAGGTGGGTAGGACACAGCCAGACTGTGGGGAGCGGATCCAACATGCCCAGCAAAAGGAGCATCCCTGAGGAGGGGTGACCAAGCCCAAGTCAAGCCTCACATGCATAAGCATGAAGCCAGAGACTGGAGCATCATCAGGACAGTATGGGCCTCACACTGCTGGGATGGATGCTCTCTGCCTGCCATTCGGGCTAACATGGAGGAGCAAGGCTCATGGACAGCCCCAGGTTTTGGGGATGTTTGGATGGAGCCTTGCACTACAAACAGTGGCAGCCTGCCAGAATGCCTGGGTTTGGAGGAGGGACAGTGGTGGATTTAAGCCACCTGAGCTGCTGCAGGGGTTGAAACGGCCTCTAACATAATCCAGGCCAGCCTAAAAAGCTACTTCCTGGCTCGTGTCAGCATAGTGAGTGTTATGGCCCCAGCCCACCCTGTGGTTGGCTCCTCTTTCAGCAGGGGAAAACAGGCAGCAAAGAGCCCTGAGAGGTGCGTGTGTGCTGGCTGTTTAGTCCCCATCTCCCATGACTCTCCCTTTGCTGAGCTGAACCAAACGCTTGCTTTAACCACTTCCCTTGGACATAATCTACCTGCATGTGAACTCTTGTGATTCAGGTCTCTTGGAAGCTTGATTTTATAGGGAATTTTTCTCCTGTGATGACACAGCCTCTTCTTTACAACCAAGCCTGAAAAAATTCCTAAGATTAATGTTTATTGCTGAACAAATAAATAGAGCTTCTCTCTTTCTTACTTCTTTCCAAACACTGTAGCTGAAGCACTCTGTAACCTGTACCTTTGCAGCCCAAACCTACAAGCATTTCTCAAGCACCTTGCTGTGATGTTGATTATCACATCTGTGGGAGCAATTAGAAATCAGCCCCATCTGCTTTTCGGCAGGCTGCCTTTTTTCCACCCCCCCTTGCAAAGAGCTTGTCCAGAGAGAAAGGTGGCAGCTCCCTTTCTGGCAGTTCCCTCTTTGGCCTTCAAAAGATTAGCTGGGAGGGTTGTGCTATCCCCTACAGAAATTGCTTGAGTTTTCATGTGATTTATTCTGTAGTGGGGCAGGAAGGTGCTGAGCAGCAGAGGTGGCATCCATGGCAGGTGGAGCCCATCAGAGAGGTATGGTGCTTTAAAGGCAGTGGCTGTAGCTAGAGTGCTTCTGTGGCTAGAGGCTGGTTGGGAGAGATAGGTGAAGGGGCTCAGACCCTTTGGGCTTGCTGGGAGTAGGTTTCTTGGAAAATCTGGGCTTGCTTCCTTAGTGGGTGGCTGTGCCCTTAAAGTCCCTTCAGCAGCTTTGTCCTTGCTCATTTTCCTGTGTGTTGTGAGCACAGGTAGGTTGTTTCTGGCTGGGATGCCCCACACTGGGACAAGCAGTGCTGTTGCCAGGGTTTCCCAGTTCTGTTCTCTCTTGCTTAACTGAATATGGAGCAAGCCCTGTTTTTTCATTTGAAGGGTGTTCAAGTGAATGGATATAAATGAGGTGAAGACAGTTATCCTCTGTTGAATGGAACTAAACCAGCTTGTGCATCCCCGGAGGGCACTGGTGCTAAGGCGCATTGTCTTTTTGGTTCTGGTCCCCTGCTTTGTGGAGGGAGAACCATGCTATTAGTGGTGTGCAAGAATGTGGGGCATGTGTCAGACTAGCTGTCTCCCATATAAGACTGCTGTGATGTGAAAGGCGTTTTATAGACTGCACCATATCTGCTGGCCTTAGTTTTCAATATGAGCTTGCACTTCAGCTTAGAGGCATCGCTGGCATCCTGGTTGAGAGTAGCTAGTTACTTGGAGCTTGTTTGCTGTCAGTGCCTGTGCTGTCGTGGGAGGATGATTAGTAGCAAGCCAAGTGAGCCAGCATATGCATCAGTGTTTTTCTCCATGTGGTCAGTGAGGAGGGCTGTCCTGTGAGTTGCCTTCCCAGCAGCAGAGAGGTGGGTGGGAAAGCCTTGCTTGAACTTTCTGTCATGTTTTGGTGCTGGCTGGTGGAGCAGAAGCAGTGAGTCATTCTCATGCTTTGGCTACTGCCTGCTAGCAGCTCTCCTGCCTTGCTGTCACAAGCCAGGTGGTTTTCTAAGAAATGTGTAGGAGGAGAAAGCTATATTCTGGCCAGGGAAAGTAAGATGGCAATAACACCTTGATGCATGGCTGTGAGCCCGTGAGAACTCTGGGATCATGAGCTCCCATTGACTCTGTGACCAAAGACGTGGACTGCTCTGCTTTCACAAAGCTTGTTGCTTAAACATGCTCCTGGGTCTTAGAGACCAGGAGGAATCCTCTTGTACAAACCCTACTTTGGGACTCCTTTGATTTTCTGGGCTATGATATGAGTGCATGAGTAGAGGTGTAATTTATTCCAGAGGGCAAAACGGAGGCATGGGGTCAGATGTAGATACAGCATTGCTTGTGAAGCACTGTGCCTTGCAAAAAACCCAAACCCTATGTGAATGGCTGTACAGCCTTGCCCTGCAGTTTAGTTTCAGCTGAAGAGAATGGAAATCTTGGGAATCATGTTCATGTGTCATTGGTTGGATCCCTCTCCAGCGAGAGGCTCTGTTAACATGGAAGTTGAATTTAGGCAGAAAAAGGTTGTGTTTGGTGCTCCAAGTTGAATTGATGCTGGGAACTGAGGGGGCAGTGTCAGGTCTGTGTTTGTGTATTGGGACCACTGAACATGCTGATTCACCTGATATTTAGGCTGTAGCTCAGCAGAGAATTGAGCCAGCACCATGCAATGGTGGTAGTGTCCTCTGTGCCTGGGGTCTGAGTGGAGGTCTGATATCTGTTTTCCTGTGGGTCTTGTCTGTGGTGAGGGTGGAAAGGTGCAGATGCTTTCAGATCTGCCACAGCTCTTAGTTGAGCTGAGTCTCGGACATTCAAAGTGCGGGAGTGTGATGTGACTGCTGTTACATCTGGGGGCCTGGAACTGGATCATGAAGTGGCTGTGGCCCTGCTGTAAAACACTTAGCAAGTTGTAAACGTGGGAGAGTGATAAAACCAGATTTCTAGAGGTCTGACACACTTGGTAGTGTCTGTAGGTTCATAAAAACATTTTGCTTCTTTGACCTCTTTCCCCCACCTCCAGATCTCCACAACAGTCATATGAAGAGGAGGACAGTCGTGTGAAGGAAGCTGAAGTCAAACTGGAGCAGATCCAGCTGGATCAGGAAAGCCCGGAGGAGATCCGAGAGGAGAATGTGGTTACTGGGGAGGAAGAGAGACTGTGCCAGGAGGCAGAACAGGTCCAAGAGCAGGAAGAAGAGGGGAGAGCTGAGCAAGAGGTGAGATCAGGAGGGGCTGACCTTTTCCTCTCCCCGGGAGTGGTGGGAGAGCTGTGGCTGGGGGCTGCTCTCTAAGAACTTAGCTCACCACTACTGTTGACACCACTGACTGATGAGCCCAAGTAAACATGCTTTCATGGCAAGACCTGGGCCCAGTGTCACTCTTGCCTATGTGCCTTCTTGAGGTCACTGTAGGCAGCTTCTGGCTTCTTGCGAGGGTGGTGTGTTTGCTCCCAGAGTGTGTGGCGGTTTAGTCATGTCCCTGGAATACCAAGAAGAAAAGTTCTACTATTTCTCCTGTGGTTTTGTGAGCAGTGAGTAGCTCTTCAGAACTCAAGTCTAAATTTTACTACTTGTTTTTCCCTCCCTAGTCTTTGTTGCACCTTTGGAGCACTTTGTCTTGATGTATCACTAAATACTGCATTGCTCCCAGCTGAGGTTTTCTTTTTTGCCCTTCTGAAAGGGTGTAATTCCTGGTTAGTGAAAGAGACAAAGCTGGAGCTTGAGTGGTGTGCAAGTCCATTAGTGGTGTGCAAGTCCATTAGGGTGGCTGAGCTTCAAGTATATTTTGTTGTTGTAAATGAATTCATGGATTTTGACTTGTGGAGGCTAGCATGCTTTTGACATTTGAACTGTGTGGCTCTTTCTAGCCCTTCATTCTAAGGCCAGCTGCTCTGTCTCCTTGTGGCCTCTAAAAAAGAAATTCACATTTTGCTATCCCGAATAGCGGTAGAAAATCTTTGCTGATTGATTCAAGGACCTCTTTCCATATAATTTTGGAACCCTGAACCTGCAAAATTTCTCAGATTTCCCTCTCTCTACGTGACACATGAGCTGCTTCCTGGATGCTTCAGAATTAGATAATGTGAGCTAAAGTTTCTTTGCTCCCGTGCTTGTTTAGTGTAAAGCAGGAAGCCTGTGAGAGAGGGCAAAAGTCACTTTTGTTGCATAGTAAGCAGTTTGACCAGCTCACTTTCTGGCTTGCTCATTTTCTGCAATCAGGAAAAGAAGAGAAGGAGAAATGAGGAAGAAGAAATGACACCAGAAAAACGCCAGAAGGCCCCAAGCCCTGCTAGCCTGGAAGAGGAGGAGCTGTGCCCTGACCACACTTTAGTCTGCTCCACTAAGGTTTGTGTTCCTGGGGCCTCATTGGGGTCATGACAGCTATTGCAACAGAGCACCTAACTAATGATGAGGAAAGAGGATCCAGGGCTTACTGCAATGTAGGGTGTGAATCCTGATATCCCACTCCCACTACAGGCTGGGACAAATCATGTAATCTGTTTCCCTCATCTTCCTTGGTTGTTAGCCTCCTCTCCTCTTGCTTGAGCTGTTGGAGATGTAACTGTCTCTGTGTATACTTTGCCAATCACCGTAAAAATCTAAAGCTCATTGAGGACTCCAGGGAATATTGTAATACTGAGAAAGATGTCTGTGCTTTCAGCTTGTGCATTTGGTCAAAAACTACATGTGAACTTAATCAGAAAACTAAATTTCCCTTCCCCCAAAAATACCCCAAACCAAAGCACTGGAATTTCCCAGTCTTACTTAGAATAAAATCAGAAAGTATGACTTAAGTTTTCTTAAGCTGAGATTCCGGATCTGTCAAGCATAGAGTCCTTCCCAATGACATCTCTCTGCACTGATGCTCTTTCAAAGCTTCCATTTTTAACACTACCTGAATTGCATCTCATGACTTCTGTTGCATTTACTACAAATCCTCAATTCTATGTTTGTCCTTTTAAAATGCAATAGATACAGATAAGTGGTTTCTGTAGTGAATGGCTTTTTGTCTTTGTAAGCCCTAAACTTGTTGATTGTATCAATGAGGGAAATAGTGAGGAGCCTGTGTAGCCTGCTAATCTCCTGTTGGTATCTTTGCTTTCTTACATTTAATCTGTGCTATTTGCTTCTTGGTCAAAATTTCCTAGCTGGAGGGAGTGATTGTATGAGCACTCCCTCTTGCAAAAGTAAACAGATTGTAAGAAGAAGGTTTCATCATCTACAACCATCAGATTCTTGTTTCTGGAGAAGCCTTTTTAAAGCCAAATAAAAGGAGAGAAGGGGTGGGTTTGGATGCAGGCCATATGCTAATGTTAGGTCTGAAAAATGGGGTGGGGTGGTCAAAACACATCCCTGGAGTGGGGCTGGTGGGGAAATGTGTGAAACACTTCCAACAGCTTTTATATGCTGAAAGCTTTGTCATTACAACCCCAAAACATACATAGTTTCCTTAGCTTACCTGCTGCTGCTAGATTCAGCCCTGAGGAAGGTTTAGAAATATAGTCTCTGTTTTATAATGGTGATGTCAAAGCTCACCAGTACACAAAGCCTAATGTAAAGCAGTGCAGGAAAAATATGAGCTTGGGATCGTTCCAAAGGAAGGAGGATCTTTACACCCCAGCTGGGAGGGCTTTATGTGAACACAAAGAATTAGACATGTAGACCACCAAGGAGGTGTTTTGGTACAGGATCGCTCAGCACAAACACTGCTTGTAGTAGAAAGATGAGAGCATTTGCCGTGGGTGGTGGAGGCCAGGTACACATCTGAGGCAGGCAGCTCTTCAGGGTTCAGAGGGCCAGTGTGGCCTGGGGGCAGAAATAGACGTGGGATCGCAGGGGTGAAGCACTGTACCAGCCCCATTTTGTCCCAGGCTTCTTGTGAATTCTGAGTTTTAAGGTTGGCTGAGTGAGCAACTGTGGTCTCTTCTGACCTCCAGAAAGTGCTTTGGACCAGAGAAATGCATGACTCTCACTGCAAGGAATTGCCCTATGGGGCATGGGGAGGTGGTCTCCAAATAGCTTAGGAAAAGTTTGTTCACACCTAGAGTGTTGTGCTGAGATCTGCTGTCACCTACAGCCTTTCCTAGACCCTTCTATATAACCTGATGCTCATTTATGACATTTTGGAAGCACCTGTGGGTGGTTTGCACCTGCACAGCATCTCTCTGTTGGCAGGGCTGGCAAGGCTTCTTCCTACTGATATCTCATTGACTCGTGGTTGAACAGCTGAGACATAGGCAGGGATCTGCCAGATTCCCCTTTTGGATGCTTTTATGTCCCATGAGGGGCCAGCCTGCCCATCAATGTCCCAGAGGAATGAGCAACCCAATCTCTGGACTCATGGCTCAGAGACAAGCATAAGTCTCATGGCACAAAGCAAAGTAGTAACCTAGCAGCAGGCAGACAGCCTGCCCAGCAGAAAAAGCTGGGTGGTGGGATGGATATCTTGCTGCTGTGCTGGGACCCTGCAGAGTGATGACCCTTAATGCATTTCTGTTAGCCAGGGTTGCACTGTTTGATGGTTGTGCTCATCTCTAATGGGCCCCGTGCTCTTGGGCACGGCTGTTAAATGTATGTTCTCTGTGACACTGTTTTGTCTTCTGCTGAGATAAAATTTAGTGCTGGCATCCTGAAAGCATCTTAAAATGAGCACCTAGGGCTACTTTCTATCTGCTGGTAGGTGATGTTTCCCATGGCACAGCCAGCAGTTATACAGGGAGAGAAGGCTCCTTGTTACATGGTTGCTGCTCCTTGGCTCTGTAGGAGGTGATGTTGACAAAGAGCCCCCTCTTAACTTGAAAGTGATTTTTCTCACTGTATTCTTGTTTTGGGGGGCATTCAAAAGTTGTGAAGTTTAGCTGAAAACATTTCAGCTTTCCTTTACTTGGTGGTTAGGAGGTGTTTGCCTTCCTTTGCTTTGGCCAAAGAGTTCTTGCACAGGGGCCTCTTACGCAAAACTCACTTTCCCTCTGGCTTGACCTGAAGGGCTTCTTTGCAGGTGGCTTCATGTGCTGACTTGCCCTGTGTGCTTCTCTGGTGCGGATAAGTCAATGTAACTCATACCTGTGCTGCTCTCAAGCTTGGCTACTCTTCTACAGACTTAGCCGGCAGTATCTCTAGTTTTTCCCCCTTGTCTTTCCACACTTGCTACGTTCTCTGTTGTGTCTGTCTAGGAAACCAAGTGTTGAGAAAGATGCCTAGCCCTTGGGCAGAGGGAGTAGAGAAAATGGTCTTGGTTGCTGTTTCAGCTGTCAGTCAAGCTGCATGTTGTTGTTTTGCACCTGAAACTGTGTGGGATTCTGCTCACCTGCCTGGGAAGGGAGAAGGAAAGGGGATGACAGTGTCTTCCAACCAGTGTGGGGACATGGAATTGAGTGAGGCGTTTCTAACAAAACCTAGGTGAGGAGTTAGAGCAGAGAAATGATTGAATTATGGTCAGTGGAGGTGACTTGCATCCATCTGAGGTCCACAGACAAAAGTAATGTCTTTGTCTTTTCTCTCCCACTTCAGCTCACAGACAGAACCGAGTCGCTGAATCGCTCAATAAAGAAAAGGTATTTCTAGGGTTGACCTCAGGGTAAAGCAGGGCCCTTCCTGCAAGTGGAGCATGCTGAAGGGTCCCCCTCCTGGGTAGGGCAGGAGTGAGAGGCTGCCTGTGGCCCTCGAAGTCCTCCCTTTCCTTGAGGCCCTGGGGGATCACCTTAATACTCTTCTCTCTTCTGCTTTCCAGTAACAGCATAAAGAAGAGTCAGCCTCCCCTCCCTGTGTCGAAGATTGATGACAGGCTGGAGCAGTACACACAGGCTATTGAGGTGGGCTGCTGTGTTGTCTCTTTCCCCACTCTCCAAGGAGCCCTCTCTGCTAGACATTGATTTCCCACTGCGCCTCTTAGTCTTACCGTCTCGGGGGTGACAACTGAACAGTCTCGCCTTAGATGGGAGCAGCCCTTTCTCCAGTCTCTATCTCCTTCCACAGCATAAAGGAGGTTTCTTTGGTGAGCTGTCCTATCCCAGTTTCTGCATGTTCCCTGCTTAAAGGGTGGGAGCATGTGGCAGGAGCTAGCAAGACCCTGTAAGTTTTCTTTTACAATCCCTTATCCCTGAGGACCTCCAGTTACAGGGGTGGGGAAAGAAAACACACACTCCCTGATGCTGGTCTCTCTTCATTTACGTTCCAGACATCCACAAAGGCTCCAAAACCTGTTCGACAACCTGTTCTTGACCTTCCCACCACGAGCATGATGGTAGCCAGCACAAAAAGCCTCTGGGAGACTGGAGAGGTCACAGCTCAGTCTGCCATGAAGTCCTTGCCCTGTAAGGTACGGCACTTACAGGACTTGTGTTGCTTGTGTAGGGGAAGAGGGACTGGCCTCTGGGCACAATATGCATTACACTTGTGTCAGCTTGCTGTTGTTGGTACCAGCTTTAAAGCTATCTGTATTAGAGATCAAATTTTCTCCTTCAGGATGCAAGGCGTCATACCTCAGAGCTTTGCTTCACCTGTGCTAGGATACCAAATTGTTCCTTGGTAGTACACCTAGGAAAGCCTCTATGATGCTAGTTGAGGTTCTGTTTAGAACTAGGAATCAAATCAGCTGGTGGGGAGAATGCATATGTCTTCTTCAGGGGCTAGGACTGAGCTCCAGTTGTTGAGCACAAAGTTGCATCTTGTACCAAGATGATAAATCTTGTAAACTTGAAAAAGGCAGAGAGTATAATGCATTGCTCTCTTAATTTCACTTTCTGGTCATTCTGAGTGAGGTTGATTCTGTAACCCACTGGTTGCAAATCTGTGTTTATGTGAGCAAAATTCCTTCCACATAAAAAAAGGCTTGATGTTAGCATGTTTTAAATACTTAATGAACTTAAGAAAATAAACGTCTTGGATCTCTGATCCAGGCTTTTGTTGAAGAGAGTGAGAGAGAGGAAAACATAGGGTATACTGGGAATACGAGGAAGTTTTCATAGTCATGGGTTTTACCTGCAGTTGTCATAGGCCAGATGATGTGATATTATAAATAAAGTCAAACACATGGGTTTGAAAGATATATGAACAAAGGCATGTTCAGCAGTATTAGCAGAGAATACTAATAAGAGCATAATTTTCTCAGGATATTGTGGCTGGAGATATTGTGAGTAAAAGAAGCCTTTGGGAACAGAAGGGCAATCCCAAACTGGAGACCAATACCAAGGTGAGTTAGCATCTGTATGAGTATGAAAGTAGTTGATCTCTTGTGAAAAAGAATAGGGCTCTTGTCTGGGTTGGAAGTGTTGAGAAGATGGTGGTGTTCTGTAGGTACACAACTGCATTGATAGATACAAGCAGTACCTATCAATGCCATTGCTTACCTTAAAAGCTTGTCCCAACAGTGAGCAACTATTGCTTCAGCCCTAGTGAAAATGGGGGCAAAACCCATTTTATAACTAATAATACTGAGGGATCTCTTGAATAACATGTTGCTCTTGGCCCATGCGTTGGAAGCCCCAGCCTTCTAAGCTCAAATTGAACTGCATATGTGAGTTACTTTGTTCTTGTTATAGCTTTTGATCTTGAGAGTAAAAAAGCCGTGCAAAATAAAGTGGAAGTGAATCTAAAACAGCATCAACACTTGCAGATGAATCTGATGTTTTGTGCCTACAGTATGTCTGTGGGAATGCCTTTTAAAATGCAGCAAGCAGCTGCTGTTCAAACTCTTCAGGCTGGGAGAGGCAGATCTAAGTATCTTGCCTGTTCCTGGGTCAGTATGCTGCCAGTATGTGGTATATGAAACTAGCTTTTTGCATGGGTGAAATTAGCTCTGTTTTGGGAGGTTTCAGTTTTAGATGAGCCCTCCCTCATGATGCCTTGCATTGCATCTTCCCTTTGCTAATACACATCCTGTGCTTGCTGTGTTACCTTATGCCTATAAAAAGTGGTGGTTGGTCTGTGCAAGGAGTTTATGTGGAAGGGCAGGAAGGGAGTACAGAGTAGACTGTCTCAAAGTCCTGTGGGATTACAGACAACCATATCACATGCTCCTCTGACTTCAGTTATTTAATCTTGCCTGCCTATTTGAGAGAGAAAATTGTTGACTTTGGCTCTTTCTTTCTCTCCTGTTCAGTCCACTCCTTCTGGCAAAAAGTATAAATTCATTGCAACAGGCCATGGCCAGTACAAGAAGGTGTTGATAGACGATGCTGCAGAGAAATAGCATGCCTGGAGAACTCATTAACCAGGTAGGTGGGGTATGACCTTGCACTGCCTTACAAGCTCCTGGTACTGTTCTGGCAGGGTGCTGGGGCTATTTCTGCCAGCTACACTTTAGGTGAGTTGGAAGGTACTACATGGTAACAGCTGGAGCCTTGCTTCTGGTCAAGTGCCTGACTTTGTGAGCTGGGAAGGAGCGGGTACACAGTAGAGGTTTGTTTTGGTCTCTGACTTTCTGATGCTGCTAGGAAGCTTGATATCCGAGTTAATCTGCAGAGTAAGTCCCTTAGCTACTGCTGGTTGGGTGAAGATGCGCTTGCCTTTGCTAGTTCAAAGGAACAGTCTCTATCTGCTGTCTTTTCTTATGCTCCCTTATGATGCAAGGATAAGTAGATAGCTGAAGGTCATTCTGGCTGAGCATGGGATCTGATATAGTTCTGAAATTCAGATGCTTCTGGGGTCCAATTCCCAGATTTATTGAATTAATCAGGGGAAGGGAAGAACTTTTAATGATTTCAATAACCTCTTAGAACCAGTCCGTAATAGGGTTGTAGTGGGGAGGACATGGACATCTGCTGTGCTGGGTAGACCAACAAAGCAGAAAAGATTGTCCTCTGATGTGAAGCAAGGGGGAAAGCAGAGCTGGGTTGCTGGTTTTGTGCCCTCTTGAAACAGTCTTTGGATCTCATGCTCATATTGTGTTTATTTTAATAGATATCCTGGTGTTATCTTGAGTGGATGATAGCAGAGGGTTGCAGCAATAAGGAGGAATGTTGTACAGGGCTGTGATAACTAGTTGGATCCAACTGGGCAGCATCTGGCACAGTGAGAGGAGAGGAAGTTGTTGGGGGTAAAAACAAGCTCATTCTCATTTTTCCTGCTATAAAAAAGAAGCTTTATTTCGTAGCCAAGCTTATAAATAGCTCTGTCTACAAACCACCTTTTGTTTCTGAATTCTTTTGAGAGCCATGTTCCTTTTTTTTCTTCCCCCTTTCCTTCCTTCAAGAAGCTGGCTTCTGAGTGCAGCACATTTTGTTTGTTGTTTGATTTATTTAGACTTTTGTGGTGCCTATTTAGAGCAGGAGGTCTCTTAAACGCCACTTTGAGATGGGCAGCAGTACAAACCCAAGCCTGGCCAAAGCTATGTTTTTAGATGTAAAGGAGGAGCCTACAGGACTTACAGCCTCAACTTGATTCTCTGCCTGTGGCTTTCAGAAACTTATTTTAAGGTCTTCTTTTTGATCAGTCTTTTTCCTGAGGTCTGTTTTGATGCACCAAGTGGGATCCTGCTGAGCGTCAGTTCTTTATAGCAAATAGGCATTGCTAGGGTGTCAGCAGGTTTAATTTGCCGTACCTGAGCTCCTGCAGGCAGTTCAAAGGCAAGTGACCTTGGCTCTGCCCTTTTTCTAGCATCTTTTCTTGAAAGGCTATTGACTGTCATGGGCTGTCCTTTTGGATTCACCCAGCACTCCAAATAGCCATGGCAGAACACTGCCATGTAAGGATTTTTGATTCTGAATAGCAAAATGACTGAAATAGCTGAAGGATATTGGCTCATTTCTTGGGTTTTTAGCTGTTTTGTGTGCTGTGAGGTCCCAGCTCCTTTCCAACCCCCTTTAACTACGTTCATCCTGCCAGATCCCTTTGTGGTTGCCTTTATGCTCTCAAACCTTTCTGCCTCACCCTCATGTCACTCAACACCACCTTACCAGCTTTCTAGTTGCTTGAGCACAGGTACAGTTTTTCCTCCTCCCCTCTCTTAATGAGCTGCAAGATCTCTGAACAGGCTGCAGGTTTTCTCTACATGGCAATTTGGTCTCTCAGCAGCTGCCTGAGGCAGTTTGACATTGAAAACAACCAAACTCTGTGCCCAGTGGCATTCCCCTTCCCTTGCTCAGCATGGCAACTTGGTCTGGGACGTGCTGCAATGAGTCCCAGTGCAGAGCTGCTGGTGGAAGTCTTTTGTCTCCAGGTATCTGTTCTCTCTTCTGTGATGCTCTCATGCCAGGGTCTGTCTCTGCAGGACTTGCCATGCCTGCCCTATGCCCCTGCCCTTCACTCCTGGGACAAAAGGACTAACCCATGCAGGCAGATCTGCCTTCTCTGCTTAGCACTGTGGGAGCTGCTCCCCTCACTAGTCAGTCTCCATCCCTATGCAGTAGGGATGGATTGTGAATGCAGCCTGGTGGGAAGCCAGCAGATGCAAAACATAAGCCTTATGTGAGAATCCCTGTTTTGTTCTGGGTGGTTGTCCTCACTACAGGACAAAGTGAATTAAAGCAGAATTGGTTCTGAAACCATCTTCTCTGGCTGGATTCACTTAGTCTCCCAAGGGTAATCAATATTAGCTGTTCTGCCTCATGCTGGTGCTGTGATCTTGTAAATGCAAACTCTCGTGCATAGGCATCCATCTAGCTGTGCTACACGAAAGTGCTATTTTATCACTGTGTGTAAGGTCATCTTTGTCTGCATTAGGCATTCTACGTGTTTTATGCTGCACTCTTTTTGATTTTGTATTGCTGCTGTCTCTATAGCCTTCTCTTGCAGCATGCTGAATTATCCTGCAGAGGCTTACCTGGGATCCGCTCATGATGACTGGTGCATTTCCAACCTACCTCTTTTCAGTTTTTTCTTGGAAAACTGGGATGTTGAAGTCCAAAATTTAGATACTTGCTTTATTCTTCCTTCTCTTTTATTTTCTTGGAATAGGGAAGGAATTGCAAACCAGAATAAGACCAGCAAAGTGAAAACTTCAGTGAAGGTTTGATAACTGAGCTCTTCTTACAGCATAATCCAAAATTGGAAGACTTCAAAGAAGAATAAGTGACTCTTGGTTTTGTTTCTAAGTCTGTTTGAAGTTGGGCTTGGGGAAATTTTTGGTCAGCTCCATATCCTCTGCACATGAAGAGAATGTAAAGAGCTGTGTATCAAGTTTCCTATTTGGACTAAACATAGCAATTCTATATTAGCTGTGTAGGAACATCCCAGCGTATGACAGAGTTCCTTGTGAAATAGAAATAGCTGATCTCCAGCTTTCATGCTCATAAGCCTGCTGCCAATGGAGATGCAAAGGGTAACTGTAATGAAGGAAAGCACAGTTGTCCCCTGTGGATGGGCAGAGTTGGGGGATTTTGTTTTAAATAGCCTTTTTCTCAGGACATTAGGCACCAGTAAGTACACAACTGTCATGACGTTACCCCTGAAAACAAGACTACACGTGGTTAGCAGAACTCCTCAAAACAGCACCTTGTTAAATACATATTTGGATACCCACATGCTGATGGAGGCTCTTGTTGGTTATCGTGGAAAAACTAACCCCCAGCTATACTTTAAAAGCATGGTCAAATAAATAGTAAAACTTGATTATTGCAATGAAATTGTTGTTCTGTGCACTACCATTTAGCAGACTGAGCAAGGCAGACATCAAATGATGATGTCCATTCTTTTTTAGGCAGGGGAACCACTATGTGAGAGTGAGATGGATATCTTATGGAGTCTCTTGTCAGTGCCTGCGGTGGAAGGATGAGTTTCCACCTTGTTTCAGTGAATGGTGTGGGGTGCAGTTTCAGTCGTGAAGATAGAGATGTGTATATTCTTGGAGTTCAGTTTCTAAGATTCCCTAGAGGAGATGTGGAGTGACATAGATTCCTTCATATTGTCCTATCTACAGCTGCTTCTCTTTCTAGAATTTATCTTGGTCTTAAATAAACACAACAAAATAAATTCAAATTTTATCATCCTCCTCTAAATTGGGCTTTTTCTACAGGCAATTTGTCCTCTTCACTGTGTGCCTCCCTTCTCTTCCCTGTGCTATTGCATACAGTGGTTGTTGCTTGCTCTTTTTAGAACAAGTGCATGTGTATGTTTGTTTTCCTGGCTCATGACTTGTGGATGTAGTATGTCATGCATTTAAGTTTATATACACGTGGAGAGTAATCCTTAAACCCACAGCATGAGGCTGCTGGCTTGAAGGGGTTTTATTTAATTTTATTTTTTCCTGATACTTGGCTCTGGGCTGTGTTCTCTTGCTTGGTGCCGTGTAAGAACCTCCAGAGATGTGGGCCTGTTGAAGCAGCCTGGCTTCAGTTGGCTGACCATCCTGATGCTGTTCTGTTAAAGATCTCGGTGTGCTCCTCAACCGCTTTGGGTCTAAACCGGCTCACCTCAAAAGCGGTGGTGATCTTTGTCATGGGTTTGGTAGCCAGTTCCCTCAGTTTTCGGGCATCAAAACGTGGCTTGTGTAGAAGGATGGGTAAACGGCGGGGAATAAATAAGCTTTCCTCCTTTCGCAGCTTCTTCTCTTCTGCTTGCTGCTTCCTCTCCTTGTTGACTGTCATCTGGTATAAAATAGCATCCCACATTCTTGTGGCCTTCGATTTAAACAGCCTGCAGTCTTGTGTGATTGCTTGAGAGCTGTTCTCCTCCTTCTCCTTGCTCCCTTCCTCCTGTCCCAACTTTTCTGGCTCAGACTCTGGGAAGCTGGGTGCTTCTGGCTGCACCATTAAGTGCTTCCTGAGGCGATGCCAGCCACTGGCACTAGCTCCAGGAGGTCTTGCTTCTTCTATTGGTGATAGTGTTGGCTCATCTTCGAGGGGAGGGCTGGTGTTTGGCAAGCTGGGGGTCAACTGAGGTTGAATAACATGTTCTGCTTTGGTGTCTGTGGAGGTGGCACTGGTACTGTCAGCTTGTTCTGGGGTTTCTGTTGCTGGGTGTGCTTGCATGCAGGGAGCACTGGGTGTGGATAGTTTTTGGATGTCCTGGTCTTGCTTGGGTAATTTGGGTGCTGTCTCTGATCCAGATATTTCAGTGTCACTTCCATGGGTCATAGGCTTATCAGTGTGACCACTGGCAATGCTGGGCTTGGGTGAAGGGGTCTTGATGGAATCTTCAGTAACAGCAGGCCTAGGAGCTTGCTTAGGTGGCTCTGCCTCTGCAGCAGAAAGGAGGGAATGCTCCAGTGCAGTAGCCGTGGCCTTGCTGTCATTGAGCAGGGTGGGTATCTGCCCTGGGTATGGTTGAGAGCAGCTTGCTTCAGGTGCTGGTGAGGAAGGCCTTTTGTCTTCATGGCTGATGGTTCCTTGGGTCTGATTTGATGTGGCTGTCTTAGCTCTGGGTGGCTTGACACTGTGGAAATAAGTGTGCACCTTGGTGATGTAGGTAACCTCTGGTGCCCTTTCTTTACTGGGTGTACTGGTAGGAGGAGGCTGGGGGAAAATAGATATCTGAGGGTCATGTAGAGAGGGAAGGTGGGTATTTGTGCCCTCAGGCTGTTGTGGAGTCTCAGGAGCTTCTGGCTTGTGTAGCAGGGGCATGGCTGACGAGTTTGTGAGAATGAGGTGTTCGGCAATGCGCCTCTGCTCAGTGACCTTCAGCGTGAAAGGCTTGCTCTTTCGGAAAGGGGAGGGGATGCGATGAATGATGGGCTTGATGGAGAGTCGGGCTGGGAGGCTGGTGGAGGCAGGCATAGTGGTTTTGAGGGTCTCTGCTGGGGGAGCGCTCTCATTGTGCTCTAGGTCAGAGCTGGCCTCATTCACGGGCGAGAGGCTGGACCGAAAGGACTTGGCTTGCTCTGAAGCTCGGATAGCGTTCTTCTTGGCTGCCTTCTTCAGCAGCCGCTGGAGCTGCAGGTTGTCCTTACTGGGCTTTGGTAAGGTGGGAGGGGGAGAAAGGTGGTGGTGAATGGGAGCAGGCTGGATGGAGGATGATACTGTTATCAGCATTGGCATCTCCTGAAAGAAGACAAAAATCTTAGAGTTGACATGGGCTTACTGCTGGGCTAGATCTGAAATATTCATACATAAGGCCTCCTTTTCCTCTCTCCAAAAGCTATGAGTATAGAGTCAGAATTGTGGAAGAAAACCATCCATCTTGATTTCCTTAATCTCCTAAGGAGCCCTCATCCAGTCTTGAGGGTAGTGTGGGATATAGATGGGGGATGTGGTAGTGTGGATGTAGATGTAGAGATGTAGTGAGGGAAGCAGTATTACTGAATCTGTAGCCCTCTCTCTCCTGGTGTTAGAGCAAAATCCTGTGAGAGCTCCTTGGGACCCCAGACATTTGTGTCTTGGCAACTCCTAATGCAATTTAGAAGGAACTGTCAAGAGAAACAGAGCAGGTCTGAAATTCTGAAGCTTTAAAACATTCTCCAGAGGCATAAATTGATACCATTTCATGGCTTTTAAAATTCCCATTATTAATACTCTGATACAATGTAATGTACAACATAAGTCATAAACTACATGTCGTTTGAATCAAAGTCAACACTGGCCCTGATTAATTTCAGCTGGCCTAAAGACATCCCTGTGAAATGCAGGGCTTTAAAAAGCTGTGATTATCTGGTGAGTTAGTGCTTTGTCACAAAGCTAACTCTGATTGTAATTTCCTTGTTGCACCAAGCACAGTGGCAATCTTCTCCTCCTGCGCTCAATTTAAAACCTAGTTTTCCCTTTCCGCTGGGGAGCATTGCCACTGTCCTGCCTGTATCACTCATTCTTCAGTGAAACAGAAATGGGTTGTGGTCTGAGTCAGGTCTTATCCCCAGTAGCAATTGCAGCTGGACAATCTTTAGCCAACACTGTGCTGCTCCTGGGGAGATGCACAACTGCTCTCTGTTGTTAACTTGCCACGAAATCCTTTCTGGTGAGCACCAATCAGATTACCTGCATAGTGGAGCTAAGGGTCTGTGTTGGGGATAGGAAGATGAAACTAGTCTCTCTTCTCCTCTTTCCCTTCCTGAACAGGGCTGGGGAGCACCAAACACTCAGCCTCTGACCTGCAATGATTCTTTGGCAGCCTACAGAAGAAAATCTGACTACCCTGGTTCTCAGCACGGAGTTGCTGACTTTTGCTGTGAAACTAGGCATAAATCACTGAGCCCCTTAGTGCCCTATGCTGGATGCACCTGAGCATCCCAAAACAATGAAGAAGTGGGATGATGTCTGGGTTGCCCAGAGGAACTACTGGCTCTGCTTGTTTCCTGGTGGCTCCCAAGCTGCTCTGGCTAGTGTGGGTGTGTAGCATACCTGCTCTGCAGAAAACTATCCAGAATATAACTCTCAAAAGTGCAGAACAGCTTTTTGTGCTTGACTGCTCAGTGTTGCTTTTGGGCTTGCAGTGCTGCTGTCAGCACTGGGCTGGGAAGCTGATCTGTACTGAGCAAGCAGTTGGTGTATCTGACAAGACTGATTTGTGGATGGGCATGAAAAGATGACTGCTATTAAACAACAACAAAACTCCAAACAACCAAAAAATCCCCAAAATTACCACCCCATAAAAAACTAAACCAACTCCAACAAATGCAGCAGCAAATGAAAGGACTGAAGAGGTGGCATTTAGGGCACAAAGCCTTCAAGATGAAGCTTTCACCGTGGTGGATGAGCCGTGATCCATAGCACAGGCTGTGATGGGCTGGACGTAGGAAGCTTCTAGCAAGTAGTGCACTTCTACCAACAGATTTCTGAAGTACAGGGAAGACACAGACCTGTTGGAGCAGGTCCAGAGGAGGGCCACAAAAATGATCGGAGTTGATGGAGCGCCTTCCTATGAGGAGAGGCTGAGAGAGCTGGGGTTGTTCAACCTGAACAAGAGAAGGCTCCAGGGAGATCTTATTGTAGCCTTTCAGTACTTAAAACTTTTCTTATACTTTTCTTATAAGAAATTTGGGACAGACTTTTTAGTAGGGCCTGTTGTGATAGGAAAAGGGGTAATGGTTTTAAATTAAAAGAGGGTGGATTCAGACTGGATATAGGGAAGAAATTCTTTACAATGAGGGTGATGAAACACTCCAACAGGTTGCCGGGATAGGTTGTAGAAGCCCCATCCCTGGAGACATTCAAGGTCAGTCTGGATGGGGCTCTGCGCAACCACATCTAGTTGAAGACGTCCCTGCTCATTGCAGGAGGGTTGGGCCAGATGGCCTTTAAAGGTCCCTTCCATCACAAACTATTTTGTGATTCTATGATTTATTTTGGCTACAGGCATGAGAATCCTCCTGTTGTTTTGGTGAGGGGGCTCGGAGGGGATTTATGCCAGTTGGGGGTGACAACTGTTGGGCATTCCCAGTGGCTTATCAGCATCATGCCTTAGGCACAAGGCTGGGATTAGGACTTGCTCTATTCCAGGAGCTACTCTTAGAAACAAGTCTGCACTAGCCTGAAATAAAGGCTGAGAGCCCATTCCTTTATCATATACCTGTTCTCCTCCCTAGCCTTGTGGATATTCTAGGTTCTTCTGGGTCAGAAAGTCAGAATGCCGGAGTTGGAGAGGTGCATACTTGCTTTTGTGAATCACTGCTGTGGTTCAGATTGTATAGGAATTGGTAATCGCTTGTGTGATTTTTATCTGCTGCGAGGTGAGCTAGGATGTACATCTGTTAGGATTGATTGTGAGCTGATTTCATCTGCTCCCGTTTAATGTGGTCCTGTGGACAGCCTGTCCTACAAGATGAGCTGTGGTCTAGCAGCACTGGTAAACCAAAATTACAAGGTTGATTTGCATCAGGCTTGTGCTGGGATAAAAAGGCAGGATAGCGAACTTCCCAAATACTGATGACCTGTTTGAGTGTTTTCTATGGACTGCTGTACCCCACAAAAAGGCATCTTCCTGTATAGGCCATAGCAGGATTTTGCCTGGGATTTGCTGCAGACTGCCAGATGTTACTGAGGAGGCCATGGGGGTTCTTGGAGTAAGAAGTTTAGATATAATCTGCATGCACTAGGAAGGGTTTCCCTCTGTTCCCAAAGTTCAAGGCTGCTTTATGCCCTACAGCCTCAGATTTTTGGTGTCTTACAATAGTGCTCTTAATCACTTTTGCTACTATCTCAGCATCTCATCTGACTTGAAACCTGCTGTTCTGTGGCCCTGGAGATCTTGTGGGTGGTAACTTCCATGGCATGTGACTGTGCTGGCATATTTGTGTTTGATTAGTGAGGGAGACAGATGTTAAAAACAGAAAAAAAAGGAAATCAGCTTTTAATTTATTTGCCTTCTCTGTCATGCTTGGCTTTGTTTGAGTCTTCTTCAGAGCTTTGTGCTCAGGAGAAATTCTGCAATGAGCAAGACTTGTGAGCATCTTCCCCCTTGCTGAATAATGAAGCAAAAGCAAAGGGACAGGCAGACTTGCTTTATTGCCCTTGGAAAGGCCAGAGCTGAAAATCCAGGGGAAATTGAATGGGAACTCTGGTGTGTATGTGATAAGCTGGAAGGAAATTGAGCTAGAAGCTGAGTTAAGAAGCTTTCAAAGGGTTAAGCTTCCCTGCTACTGGTTGAATGCCTGGTGGTGGAGGGGAAGTCACCCACCTTTGGAGCCCAACTGTTCTCCTGTGGTCCACTCTCTTTGCATCAACCCAAAAGCAGGAATGGTGGGGAGGGTGTCAGCATGGGGGAGTCATTTATCACGTGATGGAAAAGTCATTTGCACGTGGAGCCCCTCGGCTGTACCAGCTGTTATGCGTGGAGCAGATGGAGAGCTGCAGGAACCCAATACTGCTGCAGATGGTCCCAAGAAGCGAGCTATGGCTGCTGGGGGCTGCAGGAGCATGCTCTCCATGTCAGTGGCTTTGTCAGGCTTGGAAGGAAACCTGCTCATCTCCTTCTTGGGAGGAGATGGCTGGGTAGGAGCATGTTTCTCCCTCTGCCTGGGCAGCTGTGACCTCTGCCCGGTGTGCAGCCCTCAGCATCTACTCTGCCATGGGCACATGGCATGGTTGGCTGTCCTGCAGTGCTGAAGCTTTATGGGATGTTTCACAGGGCTCTGTTAAATGGGTGGAACAAAACCACCTGTAATTGCTGTCAAGATGCAGCCTCTGTACAACCCAGGGTATGGCTGGTTGCAGGCCAAATGGTATGAATAAACCTGTTGATTTCTTGTCTTGCAGCTGAGCTTGGTCCTGGCTCGATGCAACTCTCAATGCCACTATTTCCTCTGCTCCATAGAAGATAATTGAAGGATGTTTCTCTTCTGCCTGATGCCAGCCTGCTTTGGTACAGCCTGACTGCTCTCAGGTTATGAGTAATACCCCATGCTGCCTCTGGATGGATGGAAGGAACTAGATCAGCTGGAAAAACCTACCCCTGTTATAACCTTCAATGTGACTCTGGCATTTTTTTCTTTTTCCATTTTTTTTTTTTTTTTTTCAATCTGGCTCTGCTATGGAGATGGGAGCCTGTGCTCTGCTCCCTCTCTTCCATCCAAGTCTGGAAGAGGGGGATCAGTTGAGCTGTCAGGGATTTTGCTATGTGATGAAGAACTTCTACCTTTGTGGTTCTTGGTGGTTGGTGGTGGGAGAGATGGAGCTTAACAGAAACCTAGCAAAAGAATCAGTGTTTGGAAGGAAGGCAGTGGGCATATCCGGAGCACGAGGCGACTGTGAGGACCACTTATCACCATGTTGGTGCCAGCTGTGGGTAAAGTCTTCCCCTGTTTACAATGCAGCCTCTGTCCTTCTACAACATCTGCTTTGAGGGATTTCCATCTACTGGATTCTGTGTATGTCAAATCACATTCAACTTAGTCCTGTTTTTTAGTCTATTTCCCAGATCATCCTTTAATTGCAGTTACATACCCATGCCAAAATGTTCCTGCCACTTTTCAGTCTTGACAGTGTCAATAGCAGCTTTGTTTCAAATAGCTGCTGCTTTCCTCTCCCTAACATGGATTGGAAGTCTCCTTTCACAGGTAAGGAGTGCTGGCTGCTGGTATTACGTCCCTTCTCTGTGAAAGATATTTGTTTGTTCCTAACCTGCAGGCTCCAGTGCCAGTGATTGAAACACTTTTTCTGAATGGCAGTGGTGATGGGTATGTTGACAGTTCACCCTCAGTGCTCCTGAAGGAGGACAGGATAACTGGGAAACAGCGGCTGTTCTTATACTGAAAGCTGCCTCAGTGAAAGGGCATCCTAGTGATTTGTTTGGGGAGGTCAGAGCTTGCTGTGAACATGGGGAAACTAAGTCCCTAAAGAGTGTTGCTCTGGCCTTGGGCCTGAGGTCTGTAAATCAGCTCCTAGGGCTGTTTCTGAACTCTCCCATGTCTTCATATGTCATAGTGTTAGCATGACCCATCCCCTCTTTATATTCTTAGTTCCTACCCTTTTCTCATGTCAACATAATTTTGCAACTTGTTTCTGCTTTCCTGGAGGGAGGACAGCTTCTCTCTCTCCTGCATCAGTGTGCTTTCTGCTTCCATTTACTGCATCCTGGATTGGTTTCTTTTTTCTTTTTGTAAGCATTTAATAAAATTTGAGGAAGATGTTGTAATGATGGCAACTCTGAGTTTATTGATATAGGAGTTCCCTCAGCAAAGTTTTTTTCCAAGATCTTGCAAACCTCTGCTTGAGTGGAAAGTGGAGAAGAAGAAACATCAGACTGAGTGACAACAAGAAAAGGAGCTTAACATATGCAGGAAAGGGGCTTGTTGTGTGCCTGTCCCATTTAGGAGATCCTTGTCATCTTGCTGCATTCTTCATTGTTACTGGGGTAATTGACTGTAAAATGGGGATGAGTGGTGTTTGGGTGAGAGATGGAGCAGCATGCAGAACACCACCCATGGAGTGATCAGATAAATGAAGCACAGAGCCTATCTCTTCAGCTAATGGACCTGAGAACATCACAAGATTCAACCAAAAGCACTGGCAATGTTAACTGTTTAAAAAAAAAAAAATTGAAAAATCCTCTATAGCCTGCTTATACAGTTTAGATGAGATCTATATAGCTGTCTGTGCAGGAGCCCAGCACTCTAGTGAGCTGGCTATCCTACTTGGAAACATCTAATGAAGAAACCTTTCCACGGAGGTGACCTTGCAAGTAATAACATTTCTATGGTGCAGAGATAGAAAATAGTTTGTGCTGCCCTTACCTACACTTTCTTAAACTGTTAGGAAGAGGAAAGTTCTCAGATACCACTTCTTACTGTCATCTTGCTTTATTGGTACCCTTGTCCCCTTCATTCTCTGCTTCAGGTCCTGGAGGTAAGAATGCAAGGAGCATGTTCCTCGGAGAGCACTGAGGAGTGTGGACAACATCTGGGCCCATCTTCCTCATTTCAGCTGTTCCTCCTTTCAGCCCTTTCTCTGCCATACTGGGGTTTTCAAGTGAGGCATGCTAATGGGGTGTACGGAGGTGTTCTGATTTGATGCAAAAGCAATGATACTGTGCCCTTGCATGCATGCAAAGTGGTTGCACCAATTTGTTTGCAGCTCTATTCTGCAGTTTGCTGATGGAAAGGATGGTCAGAAATTTGACCTGTTACTATTCCTGTTCCCTGCTTGGAGAGTGCAGAAAGAGCCCCAGAGGCTGCTTGTGTGGGATTCGCTCCCTGAGGAAGGTTAATTTTCAGGGCATATTTTCCTCACTTAAAGCCCACTTGGACCTAGGTGTGGTTTCACCTGAAACAACTGCATAACTTGGGTTCTGGTTACAGCGCAGAAGTGAGCAGGTTATGTGGAAGGCCTCTTGGGAGGCCAGAGTGCTCTAGTAGCGCTGAGGAGCCGGGGAAAGGCCTGCTTTGGAGCACGTGTGTGTAGCTCTTTATGAGGTACCTGTTTCTGCCAAAGGAAGTTTTCCCACAGTTAAATTAACTGTATGGTTTGCTGTTTCTCCTCATAAAGTAACGTGGTGTGCACTCAGTGATGGGAGTGGCAGTGCGGTTACCAGAATGGTGAAAGACATCCACAGAAAGAGATGCTGCAGCCCAGGTGTTCTGGATGTGCATCTTGGGCAATGCTAATTGGGGATGAAAGCTCATTTCTTCCCTCAGCAGCAAGCACTGGGCATTGTGGCTGATTTTATTGCTCATGTCAGAAGAAAATGTCTTGAAATGTATCTGTGAAATGTGTCTGCTCATCTCCTGCTAAAATGAGAAGTTCCTGCTGGTGAATTCACTGTGAAGAAACCACAGTGTGTGGTAGCGAAGTTATGCTGCAGTCTTTGCAAAGTCAAGTCTGCTTCCAGCTCTCCTGTGCATCTCTATGTGGTGCTGGGACCTTCATACTCCTAGGGATGGGAAGAGTGCTCTGGGGCTCATCTTGCTCACGTGAGTAAAGCAGAGCAGGGTGTTCTGTCTATAACAGTTACTGGTCTGGTTTTGAGTAGCTGACTGCTCCGTATCTTTTCTACATTCATATTGTATTTTTTTTTCAGCATTGGCATCTCTTAGGCTTTTGTTATGATACCTTAGCTCTATCTTTTCCTGGGACTGTTTTATTTTGAGCGTAGGAAGGACAAATTGAGGCATTAAGTGAGTCTTTCTTGCAGGATTAAGCTTATCCTCAAAGCCTGGTGGAGAAGAGTGATGCTTTCTTGGCCCCTGTATCTGTTGGCTGCCAATCTGTTTTCTGTGCTGCCATCCTATCCCAGATTACTATCCCCTTTGCAGGTCAGTGGTGCTCAAAGAAAGGGGTGGAGCCCCTCTGTGGGCTGTCAGTGTTCTGACCTTGAGGCATACCTCAAGGTGTTGCCTCATTCCAATTTCTCCTTCACTGTTCTGCTTGTTTAGATTGTGCAGAAGGGGATGCCCTTTTGTACAGCACCTAGTTTTAAATCTGTGGGAGCTACAGTAGTCATGAAATGTGCTGTGCTTGTATTCTGTACCAGGTTTCATGGCTGCTTTTTTTCCAGCAAAGTTTGACAGATGATTCTACATGAGCATATATGAGATGGGATTGAAAAACATGGTCCACAGCCATTGCAATGCCTGTTTCCTGCAGACCATAAACTAGCATTGTTTAAACTTGGGGAAAGCTTAGCTGATGCAAACCTCAAGTTTGTTATGTCTTAATATAGCATTTCTTCTGCTTCAAGATTAGGGGCTAAACTTCATCTGGTTCTTTTTCTGGATATAAAATAATTATAGGCTCCCTTTTATGGCCATCCTTATGTGTATGTGCTGGCTAATTAACAAATCTACTCAACCCTTGCTTGCAGCTCTGCACTGGGTCTCCAGTGAGGTGGTGTACACAGGAGCCTGGAGTTCCCAAATAACTTTGTTCCTTGAAATGTGTCTGCAGTTCCTGCTCTTTGCGGGAAAGGTCAGACTCTGAGAAACCTGGGGCTAGATGTCAAAGCTTCCCCTCCTGCCACCACCACCTTAGGGAAGGAAAATAAACAAGCGCAAAGAGCGGGGTGTCTATAAATAATGAGGTGGCAGCTGATGTGCTGCTGAACATGGCTCTGAGGTTAGTCTGTTGGTAACTCTTGCCAGCTCAACACTCCTTCCCTAATGCGGTGTGGTATACAAGTGTGTATATTTATATATATTTTAAAGCAGGTAAAGAATGGATCTGACAGTGAGAAGAAGTGCAATGAGAGCCAGCATTTGCTTCAGAAACAGTGGACCCATTGCAAGGATCCTGATAATGGTAAATAGACCACAAGCATTTCCATGTGATTTTTGCATTTGTTCCCCTGAGGGTACTAGTTGCAGTGGAACAATTTGATTTAGATGACAGTTTTAGAAAGGTGTTTAATCTCTTCAGGATAACTCTAAGTAATAGTGGTTTAACAATGCTAAAGACACGTACTCTTCATCCTTCAAATAAAGAGGAAAAAATGTGTCATGGGCTGAGGGCTTCTAAGGATGATTAGAAGAATAGGGGGAGGTTGAAGCAAAATATGGGGGAAAATATCATTGGGATTAATATGAGCAAGCACTTTAAAACATGAAAGCAGCAAACTGCAAGTGTAATTACTGAATCAGAGGTGCTTTGTTGGGTAGGTAGTCCTTCCCCAAGGTTGTGGAGAGGCTGTGTGGCTGCTGTGAGCCCCTTGGCTGATCTCATGCCTCACCCACCTCCTTTGGGGAGCAGCCCAAAACCGCGGCTGTGATAGGGTCCTGACCCCTATCCTGCTGTTCAGACTTTGTCCTCTCTGTCAGACTGTCATCCATTTAGGTGTAAATAGCCTGAGGATGAGACACAGGCTGTGTCTTGAATGGTCCAGCCTGATTCCTTATCTTCAGAGACTCATCTAGGCTAGATCTAGGGTGTCCAAGGAGGATCTTCTGAATCCCACAGTGGATGTGCCTTAGATGTGTAAAGCACATGGAGCAAGCACATCTCCCAAAGTGAATAATTAAATGATGCAGCAACAGTCTACGACAAAAATCAGGAATCAATATTAACTGAAGAAAGATGAAATTCAGTACTTACTGATGTGTAATTTGTTTCCATCTGCAGTCACTTGCATGTTGGGTACCCCATGTTACTTGGTTCGGTTTGCAAGATTAACAGGTCATTACTTCTTGGAGATCATTTTGGGTGCTGTTTTCATGTGATTTTTGGAGCCCTGTAGGTAAGTTCAAAGCATCAGTTGGAAAAAGAGTATTTACAGTAGCCAGTAGGTAAGAGGTTTCTCAAAAACTAATGAAACTAATTCTTTTGAAAGCATGAAAAATTCCATCACCTAAAATTAGCGTGAAGAAGAGCTATCGAGTAACACCACTGCATGCTCCCAACTTGGGCCCTGCAAAGTTTGGCATCTAAAGTACCAGAGAGGTGAAGGGCAGATAATGGTGATGTTGCCAGGACAGATACTTTATCAGAGGCACTCCAGGCAATGAAACGAGTTGGAGGCTTTTCAAGTTTGCTGGTCAGATTTGCTGTTTTGCAAAAGTCAGGGTTGCAAAATGCGATTTTTGGAGCTGTACTTTGATTGTTACTGTCCCTAGAGAGGAAGAGTGCAAACTCTGGCTCTGTTTCTGGTTGCTCTTGGTGAGGGATGTACTGTAAGAGCAGGGTACCAGCATGTGCTGGGAGCAAGAGGGGGTTTGGAGTTGATTGGTTTGGTGAGTTTGGTTGGGGGTCTGTGTGCGGTTTGACTTGACAATCAGGGCTGAGGCTGCTGAAGTGAGGTAAGGGATGGCCTCAATACCTGCCTTTGCCCTGGCTGAATGTGTGAGCTGCCCAAATGCCAGCAGTTATTTATCATCTATTAGCCCTGGGGTGTTTCATCCCCTTTTCCAGCTGTCATCCCAGTTTGGGCTTTGCTTTTTCACAGCCTTTCAGGAGCCTTTGTAGTGTGGGTGCCAAGGCAGCTGGTAGATTAAACATGGTTGCAGGGAGATGGGGGCATGCCAGAGCAGTTTCTTTGGAAGTCTACAAAGTAGCTTTACACCTAGGTTAAGCTTGGACTGTTCCATCTGGCTTTTGAAGTGCTGGTGAGCTGTGACAGAAAGCCAAATCTGAAGGCAAATTCTTGCTTCTTTTCCAGGACTGTCCTGCTAAGCCTTGTGTCTTGCTGACCCTGTGTGCTAATGTACCTCT